CCCCCCCCCCACACACACACCCACCCAACCAGACACTGACCTCGCTTTCCTCTGTCGCGACGGCCCCCTGGCATCGCTCTCCTTATCCACGTGCAGCTCTCAAGCTCCAGGTGGACCCGGCCCTCCTCCGCGATGATTAAGCCCTCTCCCCCTTTCTCCTATCTTTCCCCCCTCCCCCTCTCTCTCTCTCTCTCCAGTCCTTGTCCCATGCTTGCTAGCCCACATCTGGCCGCCGCCGCCCTCGATCGGCGCCCTTCTCTTCCCCTCTAGACTTTCTCGTTGCCCCACCCTCCCTCTGCCCGTTTCCCCCCTCCCCTTTTCCGCGTGCGTGTGTGCGTGCGTGTGTATGCATGCGTGTCGCGCCCTTCCAATGCGCACACAAGTACACCCACACCTCTCCTCCCAGCATCCCGATATACAAATACAAATATATATGAAGAAAAAAAAGGCGCCCGTCCACATCCATTCAAGGTCACAAGGGCACGCGGGGGAGGGACACGCCAAGAGATCATGCATTCGGGGCACCTCCCACCGGGGCGCCGGTGTCGCCATTCGCCCGGCCGGTCCATTCCGACGCTCGGGGGAAGGAGAACAAATGGAAGCCAGCGACGGGGGCCTCAGGCGTCGGCCGCCGCGAAGAGAGCCCGCTCGCGCATCTCGGCCGCCGATGACCGGGCGAAGTGGCTGCGCCAGAAGTGCACCACCGCCGGCCGGAGCCCGCTGGCCTCGGTCACCTCGGCGATGGCCAGCTCCTGGGCGTCCGCGCCGGTTGGAGCATCCGGCCCGGCCAGGGGCTCGGCCAGCTGGACTGTCCGGACCACGGCAAGCACCCCGGCCTGGAGGAGAAACTCCACCAGGGTCTGGTGCTGGTGCTGCACGACGCTCGCCGTGCTGGGGCCACCCAGCCGGAAGGAGTCCACCTCCTCCCGGCGCAGAATGAACTCCCACGGGGCCAGGCCGAAGGAGCAGGGGGTCGGGAAGAAGAGCTCGAAGTCGGGCCACCCCCGGACGGGCGCAAGCGGCCCGGCCAGCCCGGGAGCCAGCCCAGCCTCCGGGACATTCCGGCTCAGTGCGCCGAAGGCCCGGTCATAGCGCGCCGCTCGCCGAGCAGGGCCCACTTTCACCGCCAACAGCGGCCGGCCCTCGACCACATATGCCGCGAAGGAGAGAGCCACATCCAGGGAGCCATCGTGGCCGAGCAAGCCCGCTGGCAGGGAAATGGGCTTGGGGGCCGTGGCGTCGTCGGCAGCCAGCAGACCGGCCAACGATGGCCCGAGGATGGGGGTGGCCGTGTCGGTGGACATGATAAATATATATATAAACGGCGCGCCCGGAGGAGGACGAAAAAAATGGGACGAAGCGCAAGGGCAGGGCGAAAGGCAGTTCGGGGTGTGCGCGCGGGGGTGATGTGCGCCACGCACACCGGCCCGGCGCGGGTGTGGCTTGAAAATCGCAAGATCAGGCCCGGCCGCCGGGAGGGGGGCGGGGGGGG